AATAGTTCTTATCTCATATGGTTGTTGTGAAGATTAAGTAAGTTAATATCTGCAAAGCACTTACAACCCTGCCTGGTGCATGGTAAGTGCTATGTAACTGTGTGTTAAATATAAGGTAAAATTAAAAGTCATTAGATTGACTACAAGGGACAAAATAATACAAAAGGGATAACACAATGTATTGCCACTTGACATGTATTTCTGCTGCTTACAGGATGAACTCAACTTTGGTTGGTCAGATGGGAAACATGTTCAATTTAGTCGCTGGACTAAAAATAATGGGCAACTTGAAGACTGTGTAATATTAGACACTGATGGATTCTGGAAAACATCTGATTGTGATCATATGCAACCAGGTGCTATTTGCTACTATCCAGGAAGTATGCTAATTTTAAATATTTTAATTCTTACATTATTATCAGTCTCATGAATAGTGAGATTTATGGGGAGTAGTTTTGTAAAATCTGGTTTTGAAATTATAATCATGTCCTTTTTTACAACAAAATTTGTGAAAATTTGTATTCAGGTAGAATTATTATATGTTAGGTACTTTGTCATTGATTTGTTATTTTAGACATATCTTTATTTTTGTCAGCTGACAATGGTACTTGACCTTTCAGTTTTAAGTTCCTATTAGCCTCATTTTGTATATATTTTGTGTTTATAGCCTATAGGAAACTCTATTTGTGGGAATTTTTTTGGTAATTTGTATCAACAACTATTATTTCTTTTTAAGAGCCACTGTTAAGATTCATTTGTTTGTAAGTAACAGTAACCAGCTCAAGCTAGCTTAAGCCAAAAGGGAAATTTAGATCCTCAAAAATGGGGATATAGCTGAGCTTCATGAGAATGGGAATAAGAAACTGAATGGAATCAGGAACCCAGAGATACTATCTCCCACCTATCCCTTCTGTTTCTCTCTATGGATTTGCACTCTTCTTTTTATATACTTTCTGCTTCTCTCTGCACATGGTGAAACATGGCAGCTCTGTAGTTTTCAATAATAGCTGGAACTGGAGATGAATTGACTATTCCTGAATTCCAAATTCTTAGAGAGAATCTGATGTACCCTACTAAGTAAGGAATGCGATCTCTAGCCTACTCAGAGGAAAGTGGTTTCACAACTGCCAGGGGCCCACATTTGTGCGTTTGCAGTAGAGAGAAGATACAGTTACTTTCCAGACAGAGGGAGTTGTGAGCTGGGAAAGATTCGGAATGGTATCTACTGCAGATTAAATCTGTTTGATTGGCTGTGAGTAGAGCATATCTATATTTGGATCTTCTTAAATGTATGGCTTTTTCATAAAATTTTTTTGATTTTCTAGATGTCAGATTTTCAACTATTTCTGTTTGCTTTCATTAAAGCAACAACTTAGAACATCACATATTTCATTAAAATGTACCTTTAAAAAAATAAATAAAAAATAAGATGTATCTATAAAATTAGAGAAGATATCAGTAACCAGAAACTTAAAGATGAGTTCCAAAGTTATAGTTAGGTGCCCATTATTAATATCTTTGTATCGTCTCTGAGGTCACCCCTTGTATTTCAGGTTTGGTGATAGGGGAAGACAGAAACTACATTTAACCTAACAGCATCTCATGTTTTATATTCTCCCACTCATTCCACAGCAGGGGAAAGAAATTGTGTTAAATAAATTCCTTCTTACAGAAACCCAGTTAAGAGGTCACATTATATTTGAGTATAAACAGAACAAGCATCATTAAGCTATTATTAATCGGCTTCCTGAATATTCCCTACAAATCAAGCCTAATTACCATGAACAGGATTTAACATTTATGTCTAAAGTTAGAATTCATACCATTGTCTTTTTTTTAGATGATACTGAAAAAGAGGTCAAAGCACTTGACAATGTTCAGTGTCCATCTCCTGTTCTATTTACTCCATGGATACCATTTCAGAACTCTTGCTACAATTTCATAATAGCAAAGACTGAATATATGACAACACCACCAGATGAAGTTCATTCTAAATGCCAGAAAATGAGTAAGTATCTTATGTGGCCATTATGTATATGTTCATTAAAAAACAAATCTCACCTGAGGTGTGTTATAAATATTTCTTATTAGCACTAGATCTCAAAAATATTCATCTCCTAATTTCTACATTGTCAACTAAAAAAGTATTAAAATTTTGTTTAGTTAAAATAGAGAATATAAGAATTACTTCTTTACCCATCCATTAAAGAGCTAGTCTGTCTTTACATGTATAAATAAATGAGTTCTACTTACAAAGGAAAAGAAATGACTCTAGCAAGCAAAGAACTGGATGTTAAACCAAGTTAGACCGTGGGCAAAGTGAAAATAGGTGAATTTGGGTGGTCGAAAGCTCAGATAAGTGGTCAAAAGCAAAGAAGTGGCTCTGCTTAAAAGAAATGCATATTTCACACTTTCAGTTCTTAGGACTCTTCAGATATTCCCTGTGAGATCCACGGAGGATTTGTGACTGCTGAACAATGGACCCGTGAACTGTGGAAGTTCCTATGGAAAATATCAAACCATTCTTCCCAAAAGTGTGCTGTTTAGAAACTAGTCTTGAGAGATAGTCTACGAAAAGGGCCCTTAGAAAAAGAACAAGGTTGAGAAATACTATACACCATGGCTTCCTGTTAGACATTATCAAATGTACGTCAGCATATACTTTAAGAAGTACTGCCATAAATGAACTAGTTTAACTTTGTTTAACCAATGTTTGACACTTTTATCCATCTAGTCTTTTTCTGAGAAACTCCTGCTAATTTCCTGAGGAACACCTTTGGGAAATATTACACTTTTTTAACCCTAATATAAAGAGTAATCTCTAAGGAAAAGGAAGATCTATCATATAGACCATCCAAGAGGTTTTGTTTACTATAATCTTTGGCCGTGTATCATTAATATGGCTAAATTTGTACCAATTCAAAATAAGCTTTAAATGGGGAAAAGTGAAAAAAAAATAAAATTAAATGGGGAAAAGTGAAGTGAATCAATGTTTTAAATTCTCCAATCAGCTGCTAGTTTTACACTGTTGTTTAAGACCAAATTGAACATCAAGATGTTTGGGGTACCTGGGTGGCTCAGTTGCTTAAGCGTCTGACTCCTGATTTGGGCTCAGGTCATGGTTTCAGGGTCGTGAGATCTGTGAAGGGCTAAGCATGGAGCCTGCTTAAGATTCTCTCTCTTCCTCTGTCCTTCCCCTCCCATGTGCTATCTCTCTCAAAATAAATAAAATAAAATAACATCAAAATGTTTGAAAACTTCTTAATCTATTCATTTTAGTACAATGAGATAGTTTTTTAAAAAAGATTTATTTATTCATTTGAGAGAAAGAGAGAGAGCCCAAGCAGGGGGAGAGGCAGAGGGAGAGAATCTCAAGCAGACTCCCTACTGAGCACAGAGTCCTATGTGGAGCTGGATCTCATGACCCTGAGATCATGACCTGAGCTGAAACCAGGAGTTGGGTGCTCAACTGACTGATCCACCCAGGAGCCCCAGGACAATGAGATAGTTTTAATTTACATGTCTGTCTTATTTTCCAATATTGTTTTAGAGTTTATTAAGCTGGGAAATAAAATTTTCTAAATCTATCAAAATAAAGTGTTCTAGATAAGTAATTATTAAAATTATTGACTATTTTTTATTTAACAGATCCAAAATCACATGTTCTGAGTATTCGAGATGAAAAAGAAAATAACTTTGTTCTGGAGCAACTTCTGCACTTCAGTAGTATGGCTTCATGGGTCACGTTAGGTATAACTTATGAAAGTAAGTTGTAAATCTGCTGATTTTCTCTATTTATATTATTCATACTTCATTATGAACTACTTGTTTACCAAGCTACAAAAATAAAGTTCTTCAAAGTGTATGTTTACCAATATACAAAATTATAATTATGCATTTAGCAGAACTTATATAAATACCAGACAATTTTTGTATCTCAAATCTGCCATTAAAATGCCTTTACCACCAAGGTTAGAGTTATATGGTGGAAAATAATTTCCTTTCTCCACTATCTCTCCTACCAATTCAAGACTAACGAAAAATGATCACGCTGCCATAGAAATCTTCAATATTTATCTTATATCTCTACTATGTATATGGGATGAGTGAGAATGGAATTATACTTCTATTAATGTTGCACCTTTAGGTTTACAGCATTGGCTTGGAGTGGGCATTAGAAAAATAAGAAACAGCCTGACAATGAGATAGAATATTTGAAATTGGGACTAAATGCCACAAGTCCAAGGTATAATTACTATGAATATTTTAAAGATTTATTATTTATTTTAGAGGGAGAGGAGAGAGAGAGAGCACATGTATGCACACGCAGTGGCAGGGGAGGGGCAGAGGGAGAGGAAGAGAATCTCCAGCAGACTCCCTGGTGAGCAGGAGCACCATACAGAGCTCAACCCCATGACCCTGAGAGCATGACTTGAGCTGAAATCAAGAGTTGGCCACCCAACCAACTGAGCTACCCAGGCATTCTGCTATGAAATTTTTTAAAACACAGACTCTAATAATAGCAGAAATAAGACCAACTTAGAAAAATACTCAGAGATGTCCTGAAAATCATAGAAGTTTTAGAATTAGGAAAAAAGTCACTCTGAGACATCACACATCAAAAGCATACATTTAGCCAAAAAGGGCGGTGGGCCTTACTAAGGGGCACAGGATAATGACAGCCAAAGGCAGAAGCTAAATTACTCAAATATGACCATTTTAAAAATAGCCTTCTTGGGGCGCCCAGTGGCTTGGTCGGTTAAGCATCTACCTTCAACTCAGGTCATGATCCCAGGGTCATGAGATTGAGCCCCACATCACATCAGGCTCCCTGCTCAGTGGGGAGCCTGCTTCTCCCTCTGCCTTTCCCCCTGCTGGTGCTCTCTCTCTCAAATAAACAAATAAAATCCTTTAAAAAAAAATATAGCCCTCTCCTTGCTATCTAACCTAACTTTTTTTTAGAATTGCTAAGGTTTTTCTTAAATATTTATGGCATGCTGATGAGTTAACAAAAATTAAGGTATCAAGCAATAGGTAAGACTTAGGTTGCCAGTTGAAAATGAGTTCATCGTAGTAGGACTTAAGGGCCCAAATCCTTTCTCCAATGACACTCGAATACCCTTAAAATTAAAATGGAGAGAAAGTAGGTGGAAAGTTCCCAGGCTTTACCTGGAAATGACTGAGGAAAGAGTGTTCCCATAGGGACCAGTGGAGACCACACCCAGGATATAAGATTTCAATTTTACCTTCTGATATACTTTGTTAGTCATGTTATCAGAAACAACTGAAAAGGTATTCTGTATTCTGAAAAGCACTTTCAGATCTGTACACTTCCTTTTAAGCATCTTAACTTCTTTTTATAAATTGTAAGAGTAACAAAATTTCTACTAAAATATATAGACATGAGTGATATAGAAAGATGTTTCAAGCAAACAGCAAATTTGGTTTAAATCTAATTCTTACTGGCTTAATTCACATCCATAGATTTTTTTAATTATTTCAATATACTTAAATAATATTTAATTATAATGCCACTGATACAAAGGATTTTGGTGTTTTTTTTTAAGTTCTGACTTTTCACAATTAGAGAAAGATAAGTATCATATGATCTAAGTGATATGAGGAATTCTTAATCTCAGGAAACAAACTGAGGGTTGCTGGAGTGGTGGGGGGTGGGAGGGATGGGGTGGCTGGATGACAGACATTGAGGAGGGTGTGTGCTATGGTGAGCGTTGTGAATTGTGTAAGACTGTTGAATCACAGACCTGTACCTCTGAAACAAATAATACATTATATGTAAAAAAAAAAAAAAGAAGATAGTAGGAAGGGAAAAATGAAGGGGGGGACATCAGAGGGGGAGACGAACCATGAGAGACTATGGACTCTGAGAAACAAACTGAGGGTTCTAGGGGGGAGGGGGGTGGGGGGATGGGTTAGCCCGGTGATGGGCATTAAGGAGGGCACGAATTGAATGGAGCACTGGGTGTTATACACAAACAATGAATCATGGAACGAAACATCAAAAACTAATGATGTAATGTATGGTGACTAACATAATAAAATTAAATTAAAAAAAAAAGTTCCGACTTTTCAGAGTAGGGCCATGAATAGAAACTACTAAGGGAAGCCACTTGTCAACTGAAAGATGCTTCAAACCAAGTGAAAAAGTGGCCCTTTTGTATAGCAACTTTAGGAATATACCCCCATCCACCATACTGGCCAGAAAATTGTCAGTTAAATGTTTGGGGAGAGGGAAAGAGGGCCTGGGAGACAGGGGGTGATATAAAGCAGTGAGTAGGAACCAGATCACATGTACGTGTTTCTAGCATGTCTTTGCTGCAGGCAGATGTTTAGGTATAACTGCCTCGGAAGATGGTCATCAGTGAAAGGTACAAATAACCAGGACAACAATGGGTATGTGTAGTTTATAGTGACATCACTCTTCATGCAAATTCATAATTTTATTAGGCCTCACAACTTATTTTTACAGAAAGTTTGATATATTCCCATACCACACAATTCAGCCATTTAAGGTATACAATTTAATGGCTTTAATATAGTCCCAGAGTTGTGTAGCTATCACTACCCCAAAAAGAAACACCATACCCATTAGCACTTCCTCCTCCTTCCCTATCCCTTCTTCCAACTCCCAGCAACTACTGATCTGTTTTCTGACTCTACAGATCACCCATTCTGGAAATTTCATACAAGTGAGATCATACAATATGTGATTTTTTGTGTGTGTGACTGGCTTGTTCTACTTAGCATAATGGCTTATGCATGTAGCACTGCAGCATGTTTCAGTATTTCTGTCCTTTTTATGGCTGAATAATACTCTATTGTATGGATGTACCATATTTTATTTATCCATTCATCAGTTGATGGACATTTAGATTCTTTTCACTTTTTTGGTTGTGAATAATGCCACTATGAACATTCACATGCTAGTCTTTATGTGGATGTATATTTTCATTTATCTTGGGTGTATACTTGAGACAGGAATTGCTAGGTGTTTTTTTAACCCTTTGAAGAACTAACAGACTGTTTTCCTAAGCTGCTATACCATTTTCCATACCTTCCAATTTTTCTATATTTATGCCAACACTTGTTTTTATCTCTTTTTTTGATGTAGCCATCCTAGTAGGTATGAAGTGGTATCTAATTGAGGTTTTTATTTTATTTTTATTTCATTTCCCTGATGACTAATGATATTAAACATAATTTCATGTGCTTATTGGCTGTTTATATATCATCTTTGGAAAAAACTTTATTCAGATCATTTACCCATTTTTTAATTATTTGTATTTTTATTGTTGAGTTATAATTATATATTCTGGATATAAGTTCCTTGTCAAATAAATGATTTGTAAATATTTTCTCCCATCACTTTTTTTTTTTAAGTAAGCTCTGTACCCAACATGGAGCTCGAACTCACTACCCCAAGATCAAGAGTCACAAGCGCTACTGACTAAGCCAGCCAGCTGTCTCCCGCCATCACTCTGATAGTAGAATTTGTAGCACAAAACTTTTTTTTTAAGATTTTATTTATTTATTTGAGAGAGCACGTGAGATCACAAGCGGGGAAGGGGTGGGGGAGAGGCAGAGGGAGAAGGACAAGTAGAGTCCCCACGGAGCAGGGAGCCCGACTCGGGGCTCCATCCCAGGACCCCGAGATTATGATCTGAGCTGAAAGCAGACACTTAACCTACTGAGCCAACCAGGAGCCCCACACAATTAATTTTAATGAAGTCCAATTTATCTTATCACTTATGCATATCTATGCTTTGCCTACCCCATGGTGATGAAGAAATACTCCTATGCTTTATTCTAAGAGTATTATAGTTTTAGCTCTTACCTTTAGGTCTATGATCTATTTTGAGTTAATTTTCTGTATGGTAAAAGGAAAGGGTCTAACATATATACACATATAAATGTGTTTATTTATGTATATATATATATGTTTATATATATGGTTATATATATTTATATAACTATGTATATATATATATATGTGTGTGTGTTTATATAAATCACATATATATATTTTTTGCATGTAGATATCCTGTGGTCCCAGGGACTACTCTTTTATATTGAATTGTCTTGGCACCCTTGTCAAAAATCAGTTGACATAAATGTGCCCAATTGTGTATGGTTTAGGTCCAGAGAAGAGATTTCTATCACTAGTTTTGTAATGTGTTAATTTTTAAATAAAATAATTATATTCACTTTCATTGCAATTAAACATATATACAGGAGAAATGAAAATTCGATTTAAAAAATAACAAAACATAAAGCTACTACAGGATGGTGAAATTATAAGTAAATTTTAATTTTTATGTTTTAATTTGTACTTTCCAAACTAAATATAAGCATGATTTCCTGTTATGGTCAGAAAATATTTTAAAGGGATATACATACTCATATAACTTTTTAGAAAGTAGGTAAAAAAGAAAGAGAATCGGTTGAGTTTGAAATATTAACTATAATTCAAGTCTTCATTTAATCTCTAAACATAGAAAAACTGTTTCTTCTCTAGATAATTCTCTTCTGTGGTCTGATAAGACCATGCTGTCATACACAAATTGGAGAGGAGGAAGACCAGATATAAAAAATGACAAGTTTTTTGCTGGCTTGAGTACTGATGGCTTCTGGGATTTTCAAACCTTCAGTGTTCTTGAAGAAATACTTCACTATACCCAGAACAGCATTCTTGCTTGTAAAATTGAAATGGGTAAGTATGCTTATGTAGACTTTCCCCTACAGGGAAAGAGAACATAAGGCTGTCAGCTCCACGGGTAGGAATCATGAACCGTACTGTTTGAGTGCCTCCTCTATTTTCCGTCCTATGAGAGGTACTACGGAAGTTACAGAAGAAGGAAAAGACACAGTCCGCATTGTCATGGTCTTGAAATCAAGGAGTAAAATGTAGTTGGGGAGACAGCATTTAACTCGTTAGCATTGTTTTATGTAGGTTAGTTTTAGGTTATTTGGTACTGGCTGAAGTTTGTTGGAAAGTCAAAAGAGATCGATGAAAACAGGAATAATGAAAACAAAAAATGCTTTGAGGACAAGGCAAGACTTGGTTGGGTCTTGAAGACTGGATAAGATTTTTATAAATAAGAAAGTGTGTTTGGGTAAAGTTTTGACATTCTAGCCTAAAAATAAACATCTCTTAAATTTGCCTAATTCCTTAAGTAAAGCTATTTTTAAATGCATATCAATTTTAAATTTTTCACAGTTTCGAAACTGTTATAATGACCACTATGGTTTAAGGCCTCTGCTAACATCCAGGCTGATCTCCCTTCATAGTGCCACAGAATAACTTTCTGGAGCATCATTTCAATCAGCAATCTACAGTGTTTCCCTATTACCAATTACTTTGAGTCCATGTACGCTTCTAAGACTTTTTAGAAACACTGTCAATTCTAAAATTCTAGGCTTTCTTCCAGCCCCCAATTCTTCCCCCATTCTTGGCTCAATAAGGCTCTCTTTGTGTCAGGCTGATCTCTTAATTGTCCCATGTACCGTGTATGCTTATCCTCATTTGCACATTGATTTATGGTTTTTATGCACAAAAGACTTCCACCTTCTTTTTTACTTCTTTAACAAACTTTTTACTTTAGAATGATTTTTATGTTTATAGAAAAGTTACAGAGACAGTACAGAGAATTCCCATATACACGATAATCAATTTCCCCTATTGTTGACATCTTACATTAATTAGTAAGGTACATTTGTCACAACTAATAAACCAGTGTGATAGACTACTATTTACTAAAGTCCATCCATTATTCAGATTTTTTTATTTTTTACTTAATGTTCCTTTTCTATTCAGGATTCCATCCAGGATACTATGTTACATATAGTCATCATGTCTCCTTAGGTTTCTCTTGACTGTGAAAGTTTCTTAGAATTTCCTTACTTTTGATGACCTTGACAGTTTTGAGGAGCACTGGTAATGTATTTTGTGGAATGTGCCTCACTTTGGGTTGGCTGATGTTTTTCTCATGATTAAACTGGAGTTGTGAGTTTGAGATTTAGGAAAAAAAACACAGAGTTAAAGTGTCATTTTCATCACATCATATGAAGGGTTTGCCATCAACACCACTTACCACTGTTGATTTTAACCTTGATCACCTGGCTCTAGATGATGTTTGTTAGCTTTCTCCACTGCAAAGTTACTCTTTTCCCCATTTCCATACCATATTCTTTGTAAGGAAGTCACCATAATCAGCCCACACTTAACAGACTGAAGAGTCATTCTCCATCTTCCTGAGAGGGGTGTATCTATGTAAATTACTTGGAATTCTTCTGTACAAGAGATTTGTCCATTCTCTCCCATTTTTAAATTTATTCAGTCAGTTGTTTATATCAGTATTGGCTCATGGTTATATATTTTATATTTTGGGTTATAATGCAATATGCTACATTATGTAATATTTTATTCAAATTGTTCTAGTTTTGGCTCTTTCACTTGCCTTCTGTGCCTCTTTGAAGTACCCTCATCGTTGTGGTTTTGTTACTGTTATATGAGTCTTCATTTGTTTTTAGCTTACTTTCTGGTTACCTTATTTTTTTTTTTTTTTTAGTCCTAATTTCATCTAACCTAAACTCTGCAAACCGAATTTGTTAAGCAGGCTTTCGGACTCTCTTACTTCAGAGGAATCTCTCCTTCTCTACAGTCACACATATTATAGTGGTTAATTGTTTGGCCTGTGTTTCAGGAATTGTTGTTTTCTGTCCCCAATTCCTATGTGAGCTCCTTAAATGAAAGACAGTGTTTATACCTTTCTTTAGTCAACCAGACAACTGTAATATTTAAGAACATATTATATGTGTTGTGGCAATAATGAAAATAAAGTCTACATTTTACTTCCCTTGTTAATAAGAAATCCAGTTTTATTTAACTTTACAAATAATTGCATGTCCAGTCTTACCCAAAATATGTATTTTTTTAAATTTTATTTTATTATGTTATGTTAATCACCATACATTACATCATTAGTTTTTGATGTAGTGCTCCATGATTCATTGTTTGCGTATAACACCCAGTGCTCCATTCAGTACGTGCCCTCTTTAATACCCATCACCGGGCTAACCCATCCCCCCCACCACCTCCCCTCTAGAACCCTCCATTTGTTTCTCAGAGTCCAGAGTCTCTCATGGTTCATCTCCCCCTCCAATTTCCTCCCTTCATTTTTCCCTTCCTACTATCTTCTTTTTTTTTTTTTAACATATAATGTATTATTTGTTTCAGAAGTACAGGTCTGTGATTCAACAGTCTTACACAATTCACAGTGCTCACCATAACACATACCCTCCCCAATGTCTATCACCCAGCCACCCCATCCCTCCCACCCCCCACCATTCCAGCAACCCTCAGTTTGTTTCCTGAGACTAAGAATTCCTCGTATCAGTGAGATCATATGATACATGTCTTTCCCTGATTGACTTATTTCGCTCAGCATAATACCCTCTAGTTCTATCCACATCATTGCAAATGGCAATATTTCGTTCCTTTTGATGGCTGCATAATATCCCATTGTATATATATACCACATCTTCTTTATCTATTCATCTGTTGATGGACATCTTGGCTCTTTCCATAGTTTGGCTATTGTGGACATTGCTGCTATAAACATTGGGGTGCATGCACCCCTTCGGATCACTACATTTGTATCTTTGGGGTAAATACCCAGTATTGAAATTGCTGGGTCACACAGTAGCTCTATGTTCAACTTTTTGAGGAACCTCCATACTGTTTTCCAGAGTGGCTGTACCAGCTGGCATTCCCACCAACAGTGTAGGAGGGTTCCCCTTTCTCCACAACCTTGCCAACATCTGTCATTTCCTGACTTGTTAATTTTAGCCATTCTGACTGGTGTGAGGTGGTATCTCATTGAGGTTTTGATTTGGATTTTCCTGATGCCGAGCTATGTTGAGCACTTTTTCATGTGTCTGTTGGCCATGTGGATGTCTTCTTTGCAGGAATGTCTGTTCATGTCTTCTGCCCATTTTTTGATTGGATCATTTGTTCTTTGGGTGTTGAGTTTGATAAGTTCTTTATAGATTTTGGATACTAGCCTTTATCTGATATGTCATTTGCAAATATCTTCTCCCAATCTGTCGGCTGTCTTTTGGTTTTGTTGACTGTTTCCTTTGCTGTGCAAAAGCTTTTTATCTTGATGAAGTCCCAATAGTTCATTTTTGCCCTTGCTTCCCTTGCCTTTGGCAAAGTTTCTAGGAAGAAGTTGCTGCAGCTGAGGTCAAAGAGGTTGCTGCTTGCGTTCTCCTCTAGAATTTTGATGGACTCCTGCCTCACATTTAGGTCTTTCATCCATTTTGAGTCTATTTTTGTGTGTGGTGTAAGGAAATGGTCCAGTTTCATTCTTCTGCACGTGGCTGTCCAATTTCCCAATACCATTTGTTGAAGAGACTGTCTTTTTTCCACTGGACATTCTTTCCTGCTTTGTCGAAGATTAGTTGACCATAGAGTTGAGGATCCATTTCTGGGTTCTCTATTCTGTTCCACTGATTTTTGTGTCTGTTTTTGTGCCAGTACCATACTGTCTTGATGATGACAGCTCTGTAATAGAGCTTGAAGTCCGGAATTGTGATGCCACCAGCTTTATTTCTCTTTTACAACATTCCTCTGGTTATTCGGGGTCTCTTCTGGTTCCATACAAATTTTAGGATTATTTGTTCCATTTCTTTGAAAAAAGTTGATGGTATTTTGATAAGGATTGCATTAAATGTGTAGATTGCTCAAGGTAGCATAGACATTTTCACAATATTTGTTCTTCCAATCCATGAGCATGGAAAGTTTTTCCATTTCTTTGTGTCTTCCTCAATTCCTTTCATGAGTATTTTATAGTTTTCTGAGTACAGATTCTTTGCCTCTTTGGTTAGATTTATTCCTAGGTATCTTATGGTTTTGGGTGTAACTGTAAATGGGATTGACTCCTTAATTTCTCTTTCTTCTGTCTTGTTGTTGGTGTACAGAAATGCCACTGATTTCTGTGCATTGATTTTATATCCTGCCACTTTACTGAATTCCTATATGAGTTCTAGCAGTTTTGGGGTGGAGTCTTTTGGGTTTTCCACATAAAGTATCATATCATCTACAAAGAGTGAGAGTTTTGCTGCTTCTTTGCCAATTCGGATGCCTTTTATTTCTTTTGTTGTCTGATTGCTGAGGCTAGGACTTCTAGTACTATGTTGAATAACAGTGGTGATAGTGGACATCCCTGCCGTGTTCCCGACCTTAGAGGAAAAGCTCTCAGTTTTTCCCCATTTACAATGATATTCGCTGTGGGTTTTTCATAGATGGCTTTTATGATATTGAGGTATGTACCCTCTATCCCTACACTCTGAAGAGTTTTAATCAAGAAAGGATGCTGTACTTTGTCAGATGCTTTTTCTGCATCTATTGAGAGGATCATATGGTTCTTGTTCTTTCTTTTATTAATGTACTGTATCACACTGATTGATTTGTGGATGTTGAACCAACCTTGCCGCCCAGAAATAAATCCCACTTGGTCGTGGTGAATAATCCTTTAATGTACTGTTGGATTCTATTGGCTAGTATTGTGGTGAGAATTTTTGCATACAGTTCATCAGGGATATTGGTCTGGAGTTCTCCTTTTTGATGGGGTCTTTGTCTGATTTGCGGATCAAGGTAATGCTGGCCTCATAAAATGAAATTGGAAGTTTTCCTTCCATTTCTATTTTTTGGAACAGTTTCAGAAGAATAAATATTAATTCTTCTTTAAAGGTTTGATAGAATTCCCCTGGGTAGCCGTCTGGCCCTGGGCTCTTGTTGGGAAATTTTTGATCACTGCTTCAATTTCCTTAGTGGTTATAGGTCTGTTCAGGTTTTCTATCTCTTCCTGATTCAGTTTTGGTAGTTTATACATCTCTAGGAAGGCATCCAATTCTTCCAGATTATCTAATTTGCTGGCATATAGTTGCTCATAATATGTTCTTATAATTGTTTATATTTCTTTGCTGTCCAAAATATGTATTTTAAATAATTTAAATATAATCCCTAATACTTTTAATTTAAATGTTATAGTTGACTACAAGGAAGAATATAATGCTACTCTGCCACAGTTTATCCCATATGAAGATGGTATTTATAATGTTATACAAAAAAAGGTAACATGGTATGAAGCATTAAACATGTGTTCTCAAAGTGGAGGTTATTTGACAAGTGTTCATGACCAAAATGGCCAGCTCTTTCTGGAAGACCTCGTAAAACGTGATGGATTTCCACTATGGATTGGGCTCTCAAGTCATGATGTAAGTCTTGTTTTATTTTCCAGAAATTTTCCAAATGTGTTAGGAGGTTGGAAATTTGGGCATAAGATATTAATCCAAAGTATAACATCAGATTAAGTCCTGGGACTCAATTTGCATAGCATAGTGCTTTCTTACCTTTTTGCAACACAAACCAAATAGAAATTTGTATTTGTAGAATGCAGTAGGGCAAATGGCAGACTGCAGCTGCCCTAGACACTCCCAGGCCATCCCAAGGGCCCAGTAGATGAATATCTCAACAACACTGCTCTGTCACCTAGTTGGGGCAGACCAACTGGAAAGCGGGTAAAACAGGAATAGCACAGAATCAGAAAAACCTGAGGTCCAGTACTAGTGGCGGGTCTTCCATTTACATGTTCAGTGATCATGAGCAGGTTATTTAACCTTTGCAAGCTTATTTCTTCTTCATCTGTAAAACTGGGATGATAGTATTTTCCTTAATATAGGATTAAAGTGAAGAGTAACACAAAAATTTATATAAAATGCCAAATAAAATTCTTAATGTTAGAACTAATAAATGTATACTTTCTTCTCTCACTTTCCCCCTACAAATTGCACTATCTGAGAATAATGTTTTGGTAGTAAACATATCTTTTGTGCCTCTATTTGAATCTTATTAATTACTATATTCATGTACCTATAGTAATGTCCAATATACCAAAAATAGACATCTATTGAGATTAGTATTGAAGGCCTAATTTAAATAATCTTTAGAACAAAGTGAAGAAAACAAAAGAAAGGATGACACATTAGGATTATAGAAGCAAGGGAAAACCAAAAGTAATCTTCCCATATAAATTTCGTGGGAAATATTTTCTTCCAGCCCCCTGCTGTTTGATGGCTTCTATAATATGAAAAAATGAAGCCAGAGACACAAATCGCAGAATATAAAACATAAAAAACAATATTCAGGATATTATGGAGATTGGGATTGTAAATCTGTAATTGTAACAAATGGAAGCCATTTGCATGTCATTTAATTTCAAGTGTTATATAAACTCATCCTTATAAAAAATAAATCTAGAGACAGAGTATAGTAACTCTGTCCGTAAATGTAAAGTCCTACTTAAATTGCTCCAGAGTAAATGTCTCAAATCAAAGCATCAAAAGTAAATCCCTGATTTTACAAATAGGTCCAGACCTATAACAATTGTAAGCAAATAATTAAAAATCCATTCCAATACTTCTTAAAGTATGTATATTCTTTTTTTTTAAGACTTTATTTATTTATTGGACAGAGAGAGACACAGCGAGAGAGGGAACACAAGCAGGGGGAGTGAGAGAGGGAGAAGCAGGCTTCCCGCGGAGCAGGGAGCCCGATGTGGGGCTCGATCCCAGGACCCTGGGATCATGACCTGAGCCGAAGGCAGACGCTTAACGACTGAGCCACCCAGGCGCCCCTATATATTCTTTTTAATGTTATTTTTGAACATTCTTTTGTCTGGAATCAGGTTATCTCTATTAATCTTTAAAAAAATCAATTCTTATGCTAAAAAAGTCCTAAGCTTTTTTTTTTTTGTCTCTATTATTCTTAAAACAGGGAAGTGAATCAAGTTTTGAATGGTCTGATGGCAGTACATTTGACTACATCCCATGGAAAGATAAACAGTCTGCTGGAAATTGTGTTGTCTTGGATCCAAAAGGAATTTGGAGACATGAAAAATGCAAGTCTGTTAGTGATGGTGCTATTTGTTATAAACCTACAAAATGTAAGACTTGATTTTGAATAACTATATTTATTAAAATATGACATTTTGTTTTTTGCACATGATTAAATATTCAAAGGAATTTTTTGTCAATTTTTAAATAAGGTTTATTCACAAATCCTATAAAAACAATTTTGATACTTTGTGAAGAGAAACAAATATGATATACCCATTCAGGGTATGTTCCCGAAGACTTTCAGTTCCTCTGTCACTGGGTACCTATAACTAATATGTGAATTTAAATTTCACTTAGCAATGTTTTTCAAAGGCTGAAATGCTCCTTTTAAAAAAGAGTTCAGCAGCATATAAATTTGGGAAATACCTTAGGTTTGATTTACTATATCGATGGCTCTGGGAATTTCTATAGTAAAGAAATCTATTTAACTTTGTGTAACTAAGCATTTTGCAAACTTATATGATCCTTAAAATCTAAGGAAAAAGCCCCTTCCATCAGGAGCTGGACTTGGGGTCATCCTGACTGGTAGGTGGAGCCTTGAAGAAGAGCACAAGAACGAAGACCACCCAGGAGGGGCAGAGGCCTGCTGGACAAGGCAAGAGATGGTGGCAGTGGCAGTTCTCAGGGCTTGCCCTGCTTTCTGCTCCAAAGAATCCTCCAGAGAAGATTCAACATTTGGAATTAAACAGATTCAAGCAGGAAAAAAATATGAAAACTTTATCCAGAGAAGCAAGTGAATATAAGAAAGGGAGAATGATTTCAAGAATGAGGAATAAATGGATAATCAAGAACTGACATCTCAGTTGTTAGGTACAGAAAATAAATGTAATGTTTTAGAAAATCAATTGGAATCCATGAAAAGTAAACAAAAAATGGAAAGGACATCTGTGTTAGCTAACCAGACTTTATAGGACCAAGTAGAATGACAACATGAACAAACACAAATTCAGTGCTATACTGGATTGAATAGTATCCCCCCCAAATTCATGTCCACCCAGAACCTTAGAATGCAGCCTTATTTAAAAAGAGCCTTTCCAGATGTAATAGTTAAGATGGGGTAATGTAATGCTTGATTAGGATGGGCCCTAAATCCAATGACTGGTGTCCTTGTAAGAGGAGAGAAACAGACATAGAGGGAGAAGGCCCTTTGATGACAGAAGCAGAAATTGCAGTAATGTGGCTTCAAGACAAGGATTGCCATCAACCACCAGAAGCGAGGAGGCCTGAAACGGATTCTCCCTGAGAGCCTCCAGAAAGAACCAATCCTGCTGACACCTCCAGAACTGTGAGAGAATAAATTTCTGTTGTTTTAAACCACCAGGTTTATGGCAATTTATTATGGCAGCTCTGGGAAACTAATACAAGAGCAAAATTTATTTTATTTTTTTAAAAGATTTTATTTATTTATTTGAGAGAAAGCACAAGCAGGGGGAGCAGCAGAGGGAGAGGGAGAAGCAGGGAGCCCAATGAGGACCCCGAAATCATGACCCAAGCCAAAGGCAGACATTTAACCGACTGAGCCACCCAGGCGCCCCCCCCACGGGCAAACTTTAAAAATTGCATCTTCAAGGGGCTCCTGGATGGCTCAGTAGGTTAAATGCCCAACTCTTGACTTCAGCTCAGGTCATGATATTGGGTTGTGAGGTCGGAACCCCCTGTTGGGCTTCACACTGGGCATGGAGCCTGCTTAAGATTCTCTCTCTCTGCCCCTTCCCCTCAACCCATCTTTCTCTCTCAAACAAAATGAAACAAAAACAAAAACTTAAAAAAAAATGGACTCTTCAAAAAAAAAGAAAATAACAAGGGTCGGTAAGGATGTGGAGAAATTGGAGCCCTTGTACATTGTTTGTGGGAATAAAAAGTGGTATGTAGCCACTGTGGAAAATGGTATGGTGATTTATCAAAAATTTTAACATAAAATTACCATAGGATCTAACAATTCCACTTCTGGGCATATACTCAAAAGAAATGGAAGTAGGGACTGGAACAGATATTTGTACAACCGTGTTCACAGCATCATTATTCACAATGGCCAAAAGTGAAAGCAACCCAAGTTGTCCGTTGACAGATGAATGCGTAAGCAAAATGTAGTATATACATACTACGGAATATTATTCAGCATTAAAAAAGAAAGAAGTTCTGACACATAATACATAATGCAACCTGCATGGATGAATCTTGAGGACATTATTCTAAGTGAAATAAGCCAGACACAAAAAGGACAAATGCCATATGACTCCAATTATATAAGGTACCTAGAGTTGTCAAGTTCATAGAAACAGAAAGTAGAAAGATGGTTTCTGGGGGCAGGCAGGAATGGGGAGTTATTATTTAATGGGTACAGAGGCATAGCTGCTGTCTTTGTAGGAGACAGATTGTGCTATGCAGATATACTGTATTTTGTAAACAAATTACCAAATTTTCACTTGTGGATATAATTTTAGAAGTAGTTTTTTATATGGCAAGGTAAAACTAGGTTTATATTATCAAGATAAAAAGCATCCAAAGAAAGCAACAATTTTAAGTATTATTTTGAAGTAGTTACAGGCCTGCCAAGCCTATCTTTGCTTCTTATTCTGTCTCTTCAAGGGCTAAATACTTTTTTCTGTTTTCTCAGTTTTAAAAATGGTACTGCAAAAAGCTAATCAGAATGTATACTCTTATTAGAGTATGGGCTGTAGCTTTCTCTGATGTGGGCATTGAGTTGAATGCTTCTTACCTATAGGAACCACAGTTTCAAATGGGGGTTAGTGAGATTTTAAAAGTCAGCTATTTTTTCTGTGCATTTTTACAGTCATGTCTAACATTTTTATAGCTAAAGAGGTGTCCTCTCATACATACTCATCAAGATGTCCAGCAGTAAAAGAGAATGCGTCACACTGGATCCAGTACAAGGAGCACTGTTACACATCTGACCAGGCATTGCACAATTTCTCAGAAGCCAAACAGTTCTGTTCAAAACTTGGTGAGTTAAAATTTATTGATTTTCTTGGACTCAATAATTTAATCATTGGAATTTTTTCCAAGAAAATAATTTGAAATAATGATTATATTTTGGAAAATATTTTGGGGGCACCTGGGTGGCTCAATCGGTAAATGTCCGATTCTTGATTTCGGCTCAGGTCATAATCTGAGGGTTGTGGGATCAAGCCCCAAGTTGGGCTCTGCGTTCAGTGGGAGTCTGCTTGGGATTCTCTCCCTTCCTCTCCCTCTGCCCCTCCCCACCAACACATGTACTCTCTCTCTCTCTCAAATAAATAAATAAATCTTTTTAAAACATTTTTAAAACACTCAATATTTATAATAGCATTTTATAACCTATAGCCTAGTGGATAAGTATTTTATGATATATGAGTTAAGTGGAATATTGAAATAGCCATTATAAATGACCAATGTAAGAGTACATGGAAAATAAAAGTAAGTGGAAAGAAGTAGAATAAAAAATTCCTAAGTGAACCATTATGTGAAAATGACAAATGAAATCATTTTAAATAAAGCTAGATATGTTTAGATGAAGGGATTAGGAGGCAAATTTTTTGTAAAGGTTAAGTATTAAATACAAAATTATAGATTTTCCCACTACTTAGTTATTAATAAGTAAGCTTATCCTGACCAGAGTAATCAAGGAAGCAGGGGTTGTTCCTCCATTCTGCGATAGAAATGGCCCACATCCTCTGAACACCATAAGGAACAGGACTTTTTGTCTTCAGATTTAACTATTTTAGAAAGGGCAACAATAACTGGATCTCTCCCATGATAAATTTACCCTATAGTCAAACTGTGAAGTGACTTCTAGGGAGAATACCAAGAATATTTCAAAGACCTGCATCCTTGAATAGCAATTTAGCCAGACTGATGGCATTTATCTCATTTATTTTGCTAACTGTTGTGGAGACATTTGGCTGATTTTAAAATCTCCTTGTTACTGCTAACTACATGATGGAAATTTTTGTGTGGGAACTCTTATGTGCTATACACACACACACACACACACACACACACACACACACACACACAATGGGAACTATTGTGAACTATACATACGTTCTGGAAGTCAGAAGCCTCTTCCTCCCACAGGAGAAAATAGAAAGGTTTACTGTCACTGTAGTGTGGGAGTTATTCATGTAAGCCTTGGAGGCAGACAGGTCTAAGTTTTAAGGCACAACTCCCATACTTACTAGCTGAGGGATATTATGGAAGTTACATAATTGCTTCTCTTTTCTCATCTGAACAGTGAGAATGAAAATATACTTATTTCAAAGGTTGGGTTGTTGTAGGAATTAATGAAATAAGATAATGTATGCAAATGTAGCACAGTGCCCTGCAAATAGTGAGCATTCAAACTATTATTATTATTAGAAAGGATTGGGATTGGCTTTCTAATTTTATAACTGACTAGCTGCGTAAAACTGACTAATTTACTTAATCTCCTTGAGCCTTTGTTTTCTCATCTGTAAAACAGTGATAATATCTTCCCTTACAGGATTATGTAATATTAAACAAGCACATGCACACTGTGATCTTCTATAAAGGAGGAAAGACTTGCCTTAGCCCTTCTTCCAATGCCACCACCACAAAAGAAATGCTTTAGTTCAAGTGCTTGTCACTGCTAATAGGCTTGTCACTGTTGAAGACTATTTGATTCCACTTAGGATTGATTTCCAAGTCTAGTTATTATTTTATTTCTATCCCTTGCCTGATGATAGTGATAGTACTATTTGCTCTGTGGGTTTAGGGCAATTTATCAAACTTAAGAGTATTTGATTCCATACTGTACTTAGGAACTTACAATGGGCATAACCAAAACGCTTATGTATAAAATAATATTAAAGGAAATTCTCCCCAAGATCCCAAACCTATTTGCTTTCATTTTCGTTTTAATAGAAGCAAATTTAAAGCTGAGTTATTATACAGAAATGGTTGTTGAGGAGAGTATGCTGAAACACATCTTTCTACAATCATATACCCCACTTCTTATGACTAGCTGTTCGTACACAATGATCTCACTGGCAGGCAGTTCCAAGATCAAAATGTTTATCAGGTAAACATTTTGAAGAAACATAAAATTTATCTATGTAAAGTTTCAATGTATTTCTAAATTTTTTAGAATCTATTAATGCTATACTTTTAAAAATCTGACACAAATACCAGATTTTCAAAATATTCTCTATGTAACGCTTGAATTTCTCAATGATCTTGATCATGGTAGTTTTTTTTTTTTTTTTTTTAATGGCTGGTTGAGAAATATCCACTTCCCTAGTTTGCATAAAGCTAATTAGTTTAGGGTTTGTTTTCCTTCAACAGATCATTCTGCAACTATTGTTACCATAGAGGATGAAGATGAAAATAAGTTCGTGAGCAGACTGATGAGGGAAAATAATAATATTACCATGAGAGTTTGGCTTGGATTATCTCGATATTCTTCTGGTAAGTGACATATTTTTGTGCACAGTGTGCAAAGAAAATTCCAACTTGTCCTAAATAACAAGTCAGCCTTGCTAAAGAATGTTAAGTGGTGGTTAATTCAAATGCTCCTTATTGATGAAAAAGCTAGGTCTGCTGGCTGTTTTGGAGACTTATAAATTCCTAATAAATATGTGAGTGACATATTAGTAACGATGGAAAACACTAATGAAATAGAAAATCAGGTTAAATCAATTGGGATGTTCTAGAGGTGTAAGATACTTGGATTGACAACGTATTTTTTTCTCCTACAGCAATATCTGTGCCCCCCCAGGCTCCCACAAAGAACTCATGACTTCCTTCCCTTAGAGTTCTAGTGTCTATCGCCTGTGCTTTTGTAGCTTATAACTCTGTTTTTCAGAAGGTTCTCTTCTTGCTGTTCTCTTCCCTCTTGAAACATTTTTACCATAGAGAAAAATTTTCTTAAATGGTTATTTTGTTTTTCAAACAAGCTTAATAAAATTAGAGAGAATTGGTTAAAAAAGATTTGTGGAAGAAATTTTCAAGCAATAATGGATTACTCCAAGCAATAATGGATAAAAGATTTGAGTGAACGTAGAATTGATAAAGAATGAATTAAGAGTACAAATGCAGTAGAATAGGAAGGTTTTTTTTTTTACATTTTAAGCTAAGTTGAATTCTAAATAATTGAAATAAATGTGAATCCCAAAATATTAAGTACTTCAAAAAGTGAATGGATTCAAAGTTGGCCATCAAAATGAATTCTAAATTGTGTTTACACTATCACCACAAGGTGGTGCTATCTCAGCTGGAAAATAAAAATGGAGTCATGGTGGGGCACCCCTCCTGGACCCTCTTGACCCTTACTCCCCCGGCACATCTTTAATGATATGAGTTTTTTAGTTGGGGGTGAGGATGCTGATGGGGATTCAGTTCTATCTCTCACACAATCAAAGTGCAAGCATTCTGCACTTTAATCAAAACACCAGATTTTATATCAGTGCTGTCTAATAGAACTTTCTGCAAAGATGGAAATGTTCTATATCAGTGCTGTGTAACAGAGTAGTCACTAGCCACATGGCTACTGAGCACTTGAAATGTGACAAGTACAACTGAAGGACTGATTTATTTTTTTTCATTTTTAATAAGTTTCATTTTAAATAGTTGCATAGCATAGTTCCAAGTAAGTGAGTTGTATGAGTCACATGCCATTTTACCTTAGAAATTTAGAGGCAGCTACCCTATGACCCAGCAATTACACTATTAGGTATTTACCCCAAAAATACAAATGTAGTGATCCCAAAGGGCACCTGCACCCTAATGTTCATGGCAGCAATGTCCACAATAGCCGAACTGTGGAAAGAGCCAAGATGTCCATTGACAGATGAATGGATAAAGAAGATGGCATGTGTCATATCACACACACACACACACACACAATGGAATATTACTCAGCCATCAGAAAGGATGAATACTTACCATTTACATTGATGTGGATGGAACTGGAGGGTATTATGCTGAGCGAAGTAAGTCTATCAGAGAAAGACAATTATCATATGGTTTCACTCATATGTGGAATATAAGAAACAGGGCAGAGGACCGTAGGGGAAGGGAGGGAAAACACAATGAGAAGTCATCAGAGAGGGAGAAAACTATGAGAGACTCTTAACTGAGGGTTGCTGGAGGGGAAGTGGGTGGGGAGATGGGGTAACTGGGTGGTGGGCATTAAGGAGGGCATGTGATGTGATGAGCACTGGGGGTTATATGCAACTGATATAGTATGGAACACTACATCCGAAACTAATGGTGTACTATAAGTTGGCTAATTGAATTTAAATTTAAAAAAAGAAAAGAAATTTAGAGGCAATAAACTTAATTTCTTTCTTTAGATCAGTCTTGGAATTGGTTAGATGGATCAAAAGTGACATTTGTCAAATGGGCAAATAAAAGTAAGAGTGGTGGTGGAAAATGTAGCATTTTGTTAGCTTCAAATGAAACTTGGATAAAAGTTGAATGTTCACAAGGCTACGGAAGAGTTGTCTGCAAAGTTCCTCTGGGTAAGTATGGAACCTGTCCTTAAGGAATGTTTTTTGAGGAACAGGTCAGGAAATAAATGTGCAACTCAGTTATGTGCAAAGTTTTGTACTTGGTCCGAAAGTCCTTATTTAGTCCTTTCTGTATATCCAAAAAACTTGATGAAGCCATGAAGATTTTTTCTGTCGGAAAAATAGATTGCAAGAGATAGAAATGCCAAGATGTCTAAGCCTCTCAGATGAAACTACTAGACAGCCTAAAGTTTGTATAATTCTTCCCTAAGAAAAATAGAAGCTGCCAGAGTATTGGGGAACTCATTTCTTTGAATATGTTAAGATGTATTTGATTCTATCAGTCAAATATGTAAAAGCTCAAAGGTCTAATTCTGCAGTCAGTTTGCTTCCTTTCTCCTCGTTCCCATAAAACTCATGATTAACTTAGCAACAGTGCAAAACTGGACTTAATTATTTAAAATTTCCTGGAAGGAGCATCTATAGGAAGTCATAATTTAAACTTAGATTTCATCATGAATTGATATACAAAATAACCATAAAAATCTTAATTTCATTTCTAGAGAAAAGAGCTATAAATTTTTCACAGCAACAGTTTTGAAGATTTAGCCTAAAAATGTCTTTTTGGTGTATAAATATTAAAGCTGAAACCCCAATGCTAGATGATTGGTATTTGTATATTCATGCATTGATTCAGCAAATATTTGGAGTGTCTGCTATACATCATGCCCTGTTTTGTGTGCTGGGTAGGGGGATGGCTACTTTCGATTAGGTTATCAGGGAAGACCTCTAAGAGCAGGAGACACTGAAGCTGAGATCTGAAAGGCCAGCCAAGCAAAGATCAGGGGAAGAGGCACACCAGGCAGAACTACCATTTGGAACAAAGAGCTTAAAGCAGAATGAGCTTGATGAGTGCTCAAGGAAGATCTGAAAGGTAGGCAGGCACCAGACACCCAGGACTCTGGAAGCAAGGGTCAAGAGTTCAGGTTCTATGCTGAGTGAAATGGAAAACAACTGGAAGATTATGGGGGGAGCTGGGGAGCAGGGTTATGGTGGTATAAACCAAGAGTTCTGTTTTGGCATTCTGAGCTGTCTATACGGAGAAGAGATATTCATATGGAATGTCTAGCATGCAGTTGGACATATGAGAGAGAAGAGAGGTCAGCATAGAGATAGTATTTAAAGCAAGGGGACAAACTGAGTCCATCTGGGCAGCATGCAAAGAAAGGGTCTGGGACAGCATTTGAAAATAGGTAGGAGCTAAATGAAGTCATCCTAAAGTCTTAAATTTGCTTTAAAGCAACTAACACTTTATTTGGCCTTAGGTAAGTCAAACACAAAAATTTACAACTTTTAACAATTTGCTATCAAAGTAAGGTAATATGCTGGATGTGATGTTCTTGAAAGGGTGATGGGGAAAGTGAGAATAAAGATAATGCTTTAACTTCTTTAGAAGAAAATTGCTAAAACAATGAATAGGATTTAAATGAAAGGGAAAAGAGTTAAATCTGAAAAGAAAACGCTTGAGTGTTTGATGTTGGAGTTTGCATTCTGTGTTAATGCTATGAGACAATCAGGTACTTATTGTGTCTAATTTGTACAGAGGTTACACACGTGACACACAGCCTACTGTATAAATCAATAATGATGAGTTTTATATTCTCTCCTCCAATGTCAAACCTTTTCCTATTCTAGGCCCTGATTACAGAGGAATAACTATCACATTTGCCGTGCTAAGTGTCTTAGCTCTCATCAGTGCACTGGTTTGGTTCCTCTTCCAAAGGAACCGGTCGTACTGGCCAGGCTTCTCTTCAGTTCGATATGAACAAGGAATGAATGAAGATGAGATTATGCTTCCCACTTTCAATGACTAAATTCTTCTAAAAGTTTGCTAATTTGCACTAACGTGTTGGGGAAAATGAGCCATTTCGGTTTTTCCCAGTGTCAGTATTTACTCTGTTCTAAAGTACAAATCGTAAGTACTTTTTCAGTTGTTTAATTGCTGTGCTGGTATCTACAGTGAATTATCCACCAAATGCCATGTTTAAAACTTCACTTAGTAGAATGGAGAACCTTAATAGAATGGAAAAGAACCAAAGCTGGAACCAAAGTCCAAATTATTTATAGGGTAATAAATTTAATGTGCATTTTTCTCTGTAAGAATGTAGTTAATAACTAGGATATGTATATATGAATAGCACAACTGCTTAGAGACTTAAAATTGGCATGTTATAGGTCATAAATCTACCATTTAGCTTTAGAATATTTAACTTAGGGGCGGCACCTCAGTGGCTTAGTCAGTTAAGTGTCCACCTCTTCATCTCAGCTCAGGTCTTGATCTCAGGCTTGTGAGTTCAAGCCCTGCGTAGGGCTCTATGCTGGGTGTGGAGCCTACTTAAAAAAAATATCCAGCCTGATGTGAAATTTGTACCTCAAGGTAAAAACATAACTGTAAATAATATCAACATTATTTCAAAATAGTCATTTGTAGCATTTAGGAGAAATTATTAAACAATGAAATATGCTTACTTTTTTACACAGTAAAATAATGCTTTTGGCAAGATGCTTCTTATACTGTTCCAGAGATATTTCATACCAAAATTGTTTAAATGCAAATATTTTGTTTTGTCATAGTTATTCATAAAACAATGGCTTTTAAAGGAGATTTAGTACTTAACATTTTCCTAAAGTGTAAGAACATTGTTTTTAGATTGATTTAGATATACTGTAGCAGTGTGTTTTTTGTCTTTTCTTATGTACAATATATAACTCTTTCCTCTTAAAGGGAACCAGCTAAGGATACAAGTTCTTAAAGATTTCATAATTTTTATGCTTTACATGACATGTCAAATTTGACTAAGAAATTTGTGTTACTTTTTTTGCCCTTTTCTGTAAGCTAGAGAAAAGGGGTCTATGAAGGAAATTGTATATCTTGCATTTGTAAAAAGAAAAGTTACAGTGAAACTCTAAACCTTGTGATTACTACTAAAATATTTTAGATGATAAATGATTAAGGAAACACTGTTTTGTGATTATCACTTTAAATTTTACCACCAAGAATATATTTTTAATAATAGTTTCCATTGGACATGATGAATTTTTTATTCAGTGTTTATACTTTAGAATATTTTTGTATAATATTCATAGATTTATTTTAAGATTTAGAGTGTTTATACTATGATAGACTTATAATTTTCTAAGACAGTTTTATTATAGTCTGAAACTATAATACAGTTGTCCTGAAATATTTTTATTGAATTTGTTAGACTATTCCTCTTGCCCTGTCATCTGCACAATTTTAGCTGTTAAAGACTTTCTTCAAAGCACTAAATCAACTTGATGTGAAAAATACACCTATGCGGGCTGCCTGGCTGGCTCAGTTGGAAGAGCGTGCAACTCTTGATCTTGGGGTTGTGAATTCGAGCCCCACACTGGGTATAGAGATTACTTAAAAAATAATAAAATAGTAAAATCTTAAAAAAAAAAAAAGAAAAGTACAGTTATATACAGTAGTGATGCTGTAATAAAGTTGTTTTATTTTTTTAAGTAAAACTGTTGTTGATCCTTGTCAAAAAAATATCTCTATGTTGGGTTGTGTTATGTTAGGCATATAGTATAGCAAAAAATAAGTGTGCAGTTGTTGTAATGCAAGGTATCCTTTATTTAAAGAATAAATGCAATCAGAGGCACCTGGGTTGTTTAGTTGGTTAAGCATCCGACTTGCTTTTAGCTCAGGTCATGATCTCATGGGTTGTGAGATTGAGCCCTGCATCAGGCTCCACTTTCGGTGTTGAGTCTGCTTGGGTTTCTCTCTCCCTCTCCCTCTCCCCCTGCCCCTACTCCCTCTCTCTATCTCAAAATAAATAAATAAACAAAATCTTTATTAAAAAAAGAATATAATCGGGGCGCCTGAGTGGCTCAGTCGTTAAGCATCTGCCTTCGGCTCAGGTCATGATCCCAGGGTCCTGGGATTGAGCCCTGCATCGGGCTCCCTGCTCCGCGGGAAGCCTGATTCTCCCTCTCTCACTCCCCCTGCATGTGTTCCTGCTCTTGCTGTCTCTCTCTCTCTCTGTCAAATAAATAAATAAAATCTTAAAAAAAAAAAAGAATATAATCATCCTACATCTCTGAATGTTTGATTTGAGTTTCTTTTTCAGATGCCTTTGACTCAGCAATCCTTAGCAAGTCTTTTAACTATTGAATCAGCAGAAATTCCAATTTTGGCCCACTTACTTCTCATTTTTGGTGCTTCTTCAGAAGATCCTGCCCCCACCGCCCAAACCAAGACATTTGTCAGCCACTTCTAAGTCAATAGGTCACATGTTCAGTTCCAGGCTCATATTTCTAACTTCCACTGGACAATCTACCTCAAAGTCCTTCTCAGCATGACCAGAACTGCCCATATTGGGTTCCTTTTCCCATTTTGCCTGTTGCAGCTGTGTCAGAAGAACTGAAGAAGCCTTTTCCAGGCTTCCCTAGCTAATCCAACCCCCACCTGTAGTCTAACAAAATTGGTCTTTCAAAACCAGGTACCTAAAAAAGCAAGTAAATATACTGACTGATCAGGTACAGGGACAAATGTAAAAGTGATACCAGTGATCACCCTCTTTTTCCTCTCTTCACCCCACACACAACATGTCCCCCTCCCTGATCCTAGGGCAAGATGTCACCATTATCTGGGAGTCCCCCTCTGCACATGACTGCAATAGTTTGGTAACCCCCGATCCTTATGCCACTGCTGAGTTTATGCTAGGGAAAGAGATTCAGATTCCTTTATCTTAGGTTCATTTAATCCTAAAACCCTGTTGGAGAAACGAAGATTTGTTATTAGTTCAGTAATTTTGTCTTGTTTAAGAAGACAGATTTTAACTAGATCTCAAAGGCTTTTTTTTTTTAACTAGACCTCATGATCTATACAAAGTTACATCTAATTCCCTGCATATTCTAAATCAAAGCATTCTTACAATATCTACATTTCAACAGATTTAATATGTGTGTATTTCTCTTTTTTC